ACAGCAAACTGGCTACTCTGCCCACCGGGCCCTCAAGGCCCAGCCGTTCTCGATCTCTCTCAAGTGACTCACTGTCGGCTTTTGATATCCGTTCAAACACACACACACGGGCACACACAGAGGGCGAGTAGGTGGGAGGTGAAGCTTAAATATTAAACTTGAACTGCTTGTGCTGACTGGCGTTAAGTCTGTTCAGCTGTGTGAAAGAGTGAGTGAAAAAGAGAGACAGAGAGGGAGCAAAATATTTTGAGCCACAGAATTTTTGCTTTGACGAGCAAAATTTTGAGAACGGAGCACTCGATGTTGACAGCAAAAAAGCAGCAGTGTGGCAGATAGTGAACGATTCTCCCAGAAAAAGAGGTCGATCACTTGCTTTTAGCTATTTATTGCATCTCCAAGTTAAAGTTTACTGTCAAACTAAACATAAAACAAAGAGAACTGTACTGTCGGATTTGAAATAACCACATGAATTTATGAAAGTCCGCTAGCTCAAGACTAATACCCAATATGAAAAACGCCTTTAAAAGGCTAATGAAACTAGCATCGACGTTGCAATAGATGAAGGTGCTGCAACACACGTAGACAGACAATATAGCAATACCGGCAAGCATATATTCTTTATCCTCCGCAAAATATGACTGCAGTTTAATGGGTCATTTTAGTTGTGAAACTCTTCTTTGGGAATGTCTGATTATAGTGCCTTCAGTAGTAGTAAGATGCACACACCAGAAGGAATGTAATGTATAACGGTGTTCGACTCCGCCTCTGGCCTTACTGTTTGCATGTTCTCCCAGACCCTGCGTGGGTTTTCTCCGGGTACTCTGTTTTCCTCCCACATTCCAAAATCATGCATGACAGAGTCTACTCGGCCTACTACCCGAAGGCAGCTCGGATCAGCTCCAGCACGCCCGCCACCCTTGTGAGGATATGCAGATTAGAAAATGGATAGATGGATTTGTGGCTTTCATTTTAATCCTTCCCTCCCAGAATTATTTCACATTAAAATATATATATTTTACATTTTTAAATAATAAATATAAAAACATGTAATGGCTTTATTTATTTAGAGAACACCAACGTTCATCCAAAAATAAAATAAACCAATTTATGTATAAATTCAACATTATCACACAATTGATTGGTTAATTATACCACATTAATTCTCAATAATTGCATCAAAAGTTGAATGCATGATTTGGTTGTAAATTCATTAAAAAATATTTTTGATACTTTGTCATTCACTACATTGGTTTATTGATATCTTGTAAATAATACAATAAAACATATTTGTAAAATATGTTTAGCTATCACCCATTGTACCAATTATATTACATTAAAAATAGTTATTATTTTATCATCAAAATAAGATATTTACATCTGCATATAACTATTACATTTCAAATAAACAAATACAAATTTGGACTTTTTTTTTTGTTTACCTCGTTTAAGAATGACGCAGCTCATCTGTACATTTTAAAAATCTAATGACCAAAGTTTGACGACTTGCAGTGCTTCAAGCTGTCTGCCTATTTCAATATTTTGGAAGAATTCTTTTTTATTTTTTTCCTTTCCCTAATTGTACAATTTGCCACTAGAGGGAAACAGACTCCTGGCTTTCTTCTTATATCCCCCTGCAAACTCTTTGCTCTGCTCGTCCTCTTGTTTCCCCCTTCTGCTTTGTAAGTAGTCAAGCTTTTCTTTCTTTCGATTTTTTTATACCTTGCCTCAGTTCATCGCTGAGAGACTCCATTTTCAATTGAGTTGGGAATCCAGAAGAGAACATTTGCCGAGGATAATGGATGTAATCTTTCAAATCAAAATATTATCACCTGTTGAAATGAAAGGAATTTAACCAAATACGATTGAATTAAAACTCCCTCACAATCCTAACCCCTATTCAAAATAATTACCCCAAAATACCATTGGAAAAGTTGCTAGCTATTATGTTATGATGCAAATTCATATTTTTTCTGAGAAAAATGCAATGAGCCTAAAGTCGATTTTTTTTTCAAGAAATATAAATCATCATCTTTAGATGAAGAAAGAAGCATATTGTCTGTCTATATAAATCGACTGTCTTTCATATTAACTCGTGGTTCATTGCCTTTATTTTTGCGACAGGCTAACCCACAAAGCCAAAACACGTACGTATAATAAATCTGATAGTTTTTTTTGTAATACAGAACTCATTGCTTGTCTTAAAAAATTCATGGAAAGAGGATCTTGGGGAAAAAAAGTTTCTTTTTCATTTGTGCATGTAATTGTTTTTGAGGATAGACTTGCCACTGGTCCCAATCTTGTAGCATTGTAGCATCCGTATGGCCTTGTAGCATGCAATTGTCAGTGTTGCGGTTATTGTTGTTGCCGATGAAGTGGATTTTTAAGACAGCGGCAATCACAGTCACTGAAGCTAAGCTCTATGCTCTCCAAAAACCATCTTGTTTTTATATTCTCTGCCCTATGAAAACCAGTCTTTTCTACATGTGTTGTGGGATTGATACCGTGCCTCTACAGGCTCCACTTCACCCTGACGTATCACATACTGAAAATGGAGCAAGAGTTTCTCACCATTGCCTTGTCCTCAAATTCCACCTTCTCTCTCCGTCTGGCCTCGTGCCGCCACATCTTCAGACAGACCAGAAAACTTCCCAGATACATGGTCATGTTGATGAAAATGAAAGCAGTTCCCGCCATCTGGCCCCCTTCGACTCGACACAGACCTGCCAAGATGGGGTTAATACCGACGGTCATGTAGCACAGCCCCCCGCGGTTCAAGTCGTTCATGTAAACTATGGCTGCCGCCATATAGAGTAGGAACAGTGTTACGTTGATCAAGGCTTCAGTCAGAGGCCACCAGGGCGCATCGAGGAGGATGGTGCGATAATACATGGTCATTCCCAACACCAAGAGGATCATTGTCATGACCCAACACACTCCTGCCACCGACACGACAAAGGGAGTCAAAGGTCCACTGTAGCTGTATCCCGACAGGCCCATTCCGTTGTTGTAGACGCCGTTATACAACCCGTACGTGTTGGACCATTCGCTGTCTTTGTGGATGTAGCTGATGACGCAAGTGACCACCATAGCCCCGAACAGAAGCTCAAGGCCAGCGAGAAGTCGCAGCAGGCCTGGCCATGACTTCAAGTAAGAATACTTTTGGTTGTAAACCTCCACCTTCTCGGCATAGTACTCTGCGGGATGGATGCTCGTGAGTAGGGAATCCTCATTTGGGCTTTGATTAGTTTCTTTTAAAAAAGGTTTTTCAGGGGTCTCGTCCCATTTCCTGCGCTCCACAAAGGGACTCACAGGAGGGCTCACCCTGGTTCCATTAGGGAGGATCTTGATCGGCCCACTGCTGGCTTCGGAGTCATCAGCACCGTCTTTTCCCCACTTCCACGTCATGCTTCCCCATGAATTAGGGATGAGGGATTTCAGCTTATTCAAACTCCCTTTTGTGTCATTGTTGTCCTTCTCTAAATAATGTGGCGCACTGGATGTGCTGCTTGTGGAGTCATCGTTGGCCGCGCTACTTTCTGGTGTGGGCGTGTGACTCACCCACACGGGCACTCCAGTGGGCTTCTGCATCGTGTGGGCTAATTTCGGTGATTCACTGGAAAAAGAAAAAAAAAAACATGAGGGATTTCAGCTTATTCAAACTCCCTTTTGTGTCATTGTTGTCCTTCTCTAAATAATGTGGCGCACTGGATGTGCTGCTTGTGGAGTCATCGTTGGCCGCGCTACTTTCTGGTGTGGGCGTGTGACTCACCCACACGGGCACTCCAGTGGGCTTCTGCATCGTGTGGGCTAATTTCGGTGATTCACTGGAAAAAGAAAAAAAAAAACAAAAAAACGAGTCATGACATAATTGCTCTGTGAAAAAGAAATCAGGTGATATTACTGTCTCTGTATACAAACTCAATCGTGAGTAACTGAGGCTACCAAAAACAAAATAAAAATTGTAATAGCTGGTCAGAATATTTTCAACCAAGCGTGTCCAAACGTTTTATTCCAAGGGCTCACTTGTGTTTGGGCAATTCTGTTATGGTCTGATGAAACCAATATTGCATCTTTAAGCCATAATTCCAAAAAATATGTCTGGAGGAAACACAGCAGGATTGAAGATATGCGGCACAGAAAATAAAAGGATGGATGGTTCTTTGACATAACACTAGAGGGCCCTACTATATCACGAGTTGCTACTAATACCTCGCTTTGACAATCACTGCAACCAAGGAAAAAAATGTACATAAGCCACAGCCACTCTACTAGTGTACGAAATTGCTGTACCAGTGAGGTCATAGACCTTCATCTGGATTTCAAGATATTAAATAAATGCTCAAAGAGCATTTCATAATCAACTTGTTTGACACGATTGAGTTCGAACACAAAACTATATAGAACTTTTGTCCATCATAAAAGTGTACAGGCTTACTGTCAAACAATACAGCAACAAAGCCCAACATTGCTTAGCTGAAAATGTCACTTTACCTGACAATGGAAACTAGCTGAGGTCCAGGCTTATCTTCTGGCCTTCTCCATGTCTTACTGCGCCACTCGCGGAGGTGTTTAGTTTCTGCCCTGGAACTGATATGGACAGCAAAATGGCTACTCTGCCCACCGGGCCCTCAAGGCCCAGCCGTTCTCGATCTCTCTCAAGTGACTCACTGTCGGCTTTTGATATCCGTTCAAACACACACACACGGGCACACACAGAGGGCGAGTAGGTGGGAGGTGAAGCTTAAATATTAAACTTGAACTGCTTGTGCTGACTGGCGTTAAGTCTGTTCAGCTGTGTGAAAGAGTGAGTGAAAAAGAGAGACAGAGAGGGAGCAAAATATTTTGAGCCACAGAATTTTTGCTTTGACGAGCAAAATTTTGAGAACGGAGCACTCGATGTTGACAGCAAAAAAGCAGCAGTGTGGCAGATAGTGAACGATTCTCCCAGAAAAAGAGGTCGATCACTTGCTTTTAGCTATTTATTGCATCTCCAAGTTAAAGTTTACTGTCAAACTAAACATAAAACAAAGAGAACTGTACTGTCGGATTTGAAATAACCACATGAATTTATGAAAGTCCGCTAGCTCAAGACTAATACCCAATATGAAAAACGCCTTTAAAAGGCTAATGAAACTAGCATCGACGTTGCAATAGATGAAGGTGCTGCAACACACGTAGACAGACAATATAGCAATACCGGCAAGCATATATTCTTTATCCTCCGCAAAATATGACTGCAGTTTAATGGGTCATTTTAGTTGTGAAACTCTTCTTTGGGAATGTCTGATTATAGTGCCTTCAGTAGTAGTAAGATGCACACACCAGAAGGAATGTAATGTATAACGGTGTTCGACTCCGCCTCTGGCCTTACTGTTTGCATGTTCTCCCAGACCCTGCGTGGGTTTTCTCCGGGTACTCTGTTTTCCTCCCACATTCCAAAATCATGCATGACAGAGTCTACTCGGCCTACTACCCGAAGGCAGCTCGGATCAGCTCCAGCACGCCCGCCACCCTTGTGAGGATATGCAGATTAGAAAATGGATAGATGGATTTGTGGCTTTCATTTTAATCCTTCCCTCCCAGAATTATTTCACATTAAAATATATATATTTTACATTTTTAAATAATAAATATAAAAACATGTAATGGCTTTATTTATTTAGAGAACACCAACGTTCATCCAAAAATAAAATAAACCAATTTATGTATAAATTCAACATTATCACACAATTGATTGGTTAATTATACCACATTAATTCTCAATAATTGCATCAAAAGTTGAATGCATGATTTGGTTGTAAATTCATTAAAAAATATTTTTGATACTTTGTCATTCACTACATTGGTTTATTGATATCTTGTAAATAATACAATAAAACATATTTGTAAAATATGTTTAGCTATCACCCATTGTACCAATTATATTACATTAAAAATAGTTATTATTTTATCATCAAAATAAGATATTTACATCTGCATATAACTATTACATTTCAAATAAACAAATACAAATTTGGACTTTTTTTTTTTGTTTACCTCGTTTAAGAATGACGCAGCTCATCTGTACATTTTAAAAATCTAATGACCAAAGTTTGACGACTTGCAGTGCTTCAAGCTGTCTGCCTATTTCAATATTTTGGAAGAATTCTTTTTTATTTTTTTCCTTTCCCTAATTGTACAATTTGCCACTAGAGGGAAACAGACTCCTGGCTTTCTTCTTATATCCCCCTGCAAACTCTTTGCTCTGCTCGTCCTCTTGTTTCCCCCTTCTGCTTTGTAAGTAGTCAAGCTTTTCTTTCTTTCGATTTTTTTATACCTTGCCTCAGTTCATCGCTGAGAGACTCCATTTTCAATTGAGTTGGGAATCCAGAAGAGAACATTTGCCGAGGATAATGGATGTAATCTTTCAAATCAAAATATTATCACCTGTTGAAATGAAAGGAATTTAACCAAATACGATTGAATTAAAACTCCCTCACAATCCTAACCCCTATTCAAAATAATTACCCCAAAATACCATTGGAAAAGTTGCTAGCTATTATGTTATGATGCAAATTCATATTTTTTCTGAGAAAAATGCAATGAGCCTAAAGTCGATTTTTTTTTCAAGAAATATAAATCATCATCTTTAGATGAAGAAAGAAGCATATTGTCTGTCTATATAAATCGACTGTCTTTCATATTAACTCGTGGTTCATTGCCTTTATTTTTGCGACAGGCTAACCCACAAAGCCAAAACACGTACGTATAATAAATCTGATAGTTTTTTTTGTAATACAGAACTCATTGCTTGTCTTAAAAAATTCATGGAAAGAGGATCTTGGGGAAAAAAGTGTTTTAAGTCACAATCACAACGGGGGTAAAAATGCAATTAGATGATGTAAAACATGCAGGGAATGATTCCAGCTGTGTCATGTGACATCACTCTGTAAATGCAGTGCAGATATCATGGAGAGATAGCTAAGGGGAAGGACAACTGAAGTGACCCCCATCTCCATTCTCCACACACACGCACACACACACACACACACACACACACACACACACACACACACACACACACACACACACACCGAGTTTACTCCCAGTCAAAAAAAGCTGGACCATTCGCTGTCTTTGTGGATGTAGCTGATGACGCAAGTGACCACCATAGCCCCGAACAGAAGCTCAAGGCCAGCGAGAAGTCGCAGCAGGCCTGGCCATGACTTCAAGTAAGAATACTTTTGGTTGTAAACCTCCACCTTCTCGGCATAGTACTCTGCGGGATGGATGCTCGTGAGTAGGGAATCCTCATTTGGGCTTTGATTAGTTTCTTTTAAAAAAGGTTTTTCAGGGGTCTCGTCCCATTTCCTGCGCTCCACAAAGGGACTCACAGGAGGGCTCACCCTGGTTCCATTAGGGAGGATCTTGATCGGCCCACTGCTGGCTTCGGAGTCATCAGCACCGTCTTTTCCCCACTTCCACGTCATGCTTCCCCATGAATTAGGGATGAGGGATTTCAGCTTATTCAAACTCCCTTTTGTGTCATTGTTGTCCTTCTCTAAATAATGTGGCGCACTGGATGTGCTGCTTGTGGAGTCATCGTTGGCCGCGCTACTTTCTGGTGTGGGCGTGTGACTCACCCACACGGGCACTCCAGTGGGCTTCTGCATCGTGTGGGCTAATTTCGGTGATTCACTGGAAAAAGAAAAAAAAAAACAAAAAAACGAGTCATGACATAATTGCTCTGTGAAAAAGAAATCAGGTGATATTACTGTCTCTGTATACAAACTCAATCGTGAGTAACTGAGGCTACCAAAAACAAAATAAAAATTGTAATAGCTGGTCAGAATATTTTCAACCAAGCGTGTCCAAACGTTTTATTCCAAGGGCTCACTTGTGTTTGGGCAATTCTGTTATGGTCTGATGAAACCAATATTGCATCTTTAAGCCATAATTCCAAAAAATATGTCTGGAGGAAACACAGCAGGATTGAAGATATGCGGCACAGAAAATAAAAGGATGGATGGTTCTTTGACATAACACTAGAGGGCCCTACTATATCACGAGTTGCTACTAATACCTCGCTTTGACAATCACTGCAACCAAGGAAAAAAATGTACATAAGCCACAGCCACTCTACTAGTGTACGAAATTGCTGTACCAGTGAGGTCATAGACCTTCATCTGGATTTCAAGATATTAAATAAATGCTCAAAGAGCATTTCATAATCAACTTGTTTGACACGATTGAGTTCGAACACAAAACTATATAGAACTTTTGTCCATCATAAAAGTGTACAGGCTTACTGTCAAACAATACAGCAACAAAGCCCAACATTGCTTAGCTGAAAATGTCACTTTACCTGACAATGGAAACTAGCTGAGGTCCAGGCTTATCTTCTGGCCTTCTCCATGTCTTACTGCGCCACTCGCGGAGGTGTTTAGTTTCTGCCCTGGAACTGATATGGACAGCAAAATGGCTACTCTGCCCACCGGGCCCTCAAGGCCCAGCCGTTCTCGATCTCTCTCAAGTGACTCACTGTCGGCTTTTGATATCCGTTCAAACACACACACACGGGCACACACAGAGGGCGAGTAGGTGGGAGGTGAAGCTTAAATATTAAACTTGAACTGCTTGT